TGAACCAACCCCTATATATATATATATTAAAGACATCTAAAATATTATATTACATGTATAAAAAGTATATAAAATATTCTATATTATCCTTTAAAAATGTTTGAAGCTACTCTCTAAACTCTTTTTTAAGGAAAACATGTCTAAAAATACTTAAATTTAACATCCATATCTGTATATATATAGCTCCTTAATCTTTGTCTAAGTAATGTTTGAAATATCTCCAATATTATAAATGTTAATAATATTTAAAAAAATATTAGTATTTAAATAGGTGAAAATTAACTTTTTAAAAAATTTCTGATCATAGGTCAAGATTTATATTAGCATTTACACTTTAGAGTGAATTAACTTTTTTAAGAAAAAAAATTCTGTTAAGATTATTTTTTTAAAAAATATGTTAGAGTAGATATAAAAAATATGTTAAGGGTAGATATATAAGAGATAACAACAACAACAACAACAACATACCCAGTATATTCCCAACTGGTTGAAGTCTGGGGGGTCAGTTGTACGCAGACCTTACCCTTGTAATTATATAAGGAGGTTGTTTCCGTAGCGACCCAAAGTGTATTGCGTCGTTTGATATATAGTTTCTAGAAACTTCACTAATAGAAGAAGCACTAGAATTTAATTGAGTCATTTTGATCTAGTCCATTATTAGATGATTCGTAGTTTGATACATAAGAGATGATTTTTAAAATATATGTTAGAGTAGATACATAAAAGATGCAATTTTTTAAATTTACCGAGCGATGGTATTCTGTAGATTACCTTGAGATTTTTTAGGCAGGTATGCTAATGAGATTCTGTAAGATTACCTTGAGATTTTTTAGGCGGGTATGCGAAATGGGATTCTGTAAGATTACCTTGAGCCCAGTAAGATTACCTTGAGATTTTTTAGGCGGTATGCGTTAATGAGATTTTTTTTACTGTCAATCTTTAATAGTGTATGGAACAAAAGCTAATATTTTAGGCTTTTCAATTAATGATATTAATTTAAAAGAAAGTTCAAGAAAATGTCCAACGCATTTAATGTTGCACTCGTGATTGAGGAACAAAGAAATAATATGCTATTAATAGAAAACAATTAATGATGAGAGATATTTGACCAATAGTTGACGTGCCTTTTTTTTTTTGAAGAAAAAGTTATTCTATTTTTATATAATTATAGATAGATTATAGATTTATATGGTTTATTCTTTTTAAATATTTTGCATTAGTATTTTCAATTAATCAAATAAAAAAAGTATTTATTTAAAGTTGAAACATGATTTCAGATAATGATAATACTTGAAAGTCATGATAAAAAAAAAGTATATGAAAATTTTGGTGTATAAACATTCCTTCTCCAAGTTAATCTCGTTTGTTTGAGATCCTTTTAATTTAGTCAATATTGCTAAATTTACCCAATAATTAACGAATTTATCTAGCAACTTTTGTGAATTAATAAAATATCCACTAATTAATTAAAGTGAAGCACGACATGCCAAAAAATGCAAAAACAATAGGCAACAACTATCCTCCCTATATATAATTCCCGAAAGTGCTGAGCCTACGTGACTGTTTCTGGTGTTTCGGAATCTTATTTGGCGAAGAATCATGCTTCGTAATTAGGTTTGGACAAATAATATTAATATATTAATAATTAATAATCGAGGTTCGGGTATTTAATAAATATTATTTAGCTAATTTAGGTATTTTAATATTACTTGTACTAATATAACCCTTTAATTCTTTGTAATTTTACATAGTGAAACACTAAGTGACTAATATATTACTGAATTTTGATTTGCTTCCTTCAATAAGCTATTGAATTATAAATGTATTTTAAAAGTTGATAACTTTTGTATTTGTTATCCGTTTTACATATATAATATACCAAATTAATCATCTTTTGATGATCTTCGATTTGACATCCATATTGTATATATGAAATAAATAAATTATATTTTATCTTTATAATAATAAAAATAATAAGATTTATTCAAATTCATTAGAAAAATAAAATTATTTTTCAATTGATATATTTATATTTAATATAGTTATATATTGTAAGTTAAAAAAATTAGTATAATGTAACACAAGTAAGACGCACAAATAAAAAGTGTCATAATAAATATATAATAATATATATTCTTATAACATGTATTTAAATTTTCAAACTACTTTTTCTCATTAATTTTAGATTTTAAGAAAAAAAATTAGCAAGCACCCGTGTAATACACAGGTGTTGTACTAGTCCATTAACTAATTGTCGAAATTATACAAAAATATCCACTTACTCATAATTGTGTGTATTAAAAATATGAAATCCTTGTGTAATAAAGTATAATCTCTACCTATATATAAAAATAGAATAGTATTTATCAATTTGTCGAAATTAGTATTTGTTAAATTATCGAAATTATACAATATATCCACTTACTCATAATTGTGTGTATTAAATATATGAAATCGTTGTGTAATAAAGTATAATCTATATTTATATTTATATATATATAAATACAATAGTATTTGCCACAAATAGCATAAGAAAAATATGAAAGGCATTAGTTAGATACTTAAATTAGTACTTTTTAAAATACACTAAATCTATATATTTATTTATATATAATCCTCAAAAAATTTCATTTACTAAAAGAGAAAATTGTGTAGCCATATTTTCAATATTTTTATTCCTTTTTTTTTTCTTGTCAAAGAAAAAGGCTAACTTGTTTAATAATTTTATTTTCTTTTGGAAAAGGTAAAATACTTAATTATTCATTATTTTTATATGCCAATTAGAAAAAGGCATGAATAAAACTAAATAGTTATTTCTATAATCTTTATTTTTATTTA